AAAGTGCTTGTTTATGATTTTCGCTCCTCCCATCCTTTTCTTCCAAGTAGTACATGTATAGGGACGTAACAAATGGCAACATCATATTTTACCGAGAGTTTCTCTAGGAGCTGTATAGCTCCTTTTCACAAATTCTGCATCAGGATTTGTCATGATATTTTAACAGTACAGACCACAAAAATGGATGAGTGTACTTCTCACTATATCAGTGTTTGAAACTCAGCACATTCTGGGAACCTGGGTTCAAATGCTGCCACGGCAGATGGTGGAATTTGAATTCAATAAATATCTGGAATTAAGAATCTCATGGTGACCATGAATCCATTGTCAGTTGTCAGGAAAAACCATCTGGTTCACTAATGTCCTTTAGGGAAGGAAACTGCCATCCTTACCTGGTCTGGCCTACATGTGACTCCAGACCCACAGCAATGTGGTTGACTCTGAACTGCCCCCTGGGCAATTAGGGATGGACAATAAATACTACCCGGTTCACGACGCCCTCATCTTGTTAATGAAAAAAGAAAAAAACCCATTTAAATGAGATTCAGCATGGTCCTGATTTAATGATCACTGGGAATGGGTAGAACCTGTTGTATGATGTCACATGACTTTATTTACTACATCTTTTTAAGTGTTATCGTGTTTTTTGAATTGGAGGGAAGCAGTAAATGGACATCCTCAACCTGAAACTGATGTGCAAAACATACCCTGTGTCAGACCTGAACCTATGAATTAGGAGCAGGAGTAGGCCATTGAATTCCACAAGCCTGCTCCACAGTTCAGTAAGATCATGTCTAATCTGATAGTGGGCTTGATTCCACTCTTCTGCCTATTCCTGATAGCCTTTGACTTCCTTGTTAGCCAAGAATCCTATTTACCTCTGCTGTATATCTTGAATGTTCTATCACTGCTGCTCTCTGAGGAAGAGAATTTCACAGACTCGTAACCCTCTTAGGGAAGACTTTCTATTAATCTTCCTTTTAAATGAGCGAACCATTATTTTTAAATATGCCGTGTAGTTTTAGGTTCTACACATGAGGAAATATTTTCTTCAGAATTCATCCTGCAATCTGCTCAGGATCTTCTGTTTCAATAAGATCACCCTCAATATTGTAAATTCAAATGGATGCAGGCCCAACCTGTTCTGCCTTGCCTAATCGGATCGTTCTCTCATGAACAGAATCAGTTGTGTACCTTCTGAGTTTCCTCTGACATATTTACATCCTTCCTTAAGTTAGGACTCCAAGACTGTACTGAGTACTCCACATATGGTATCACCAACTATCTATAAGACTGTTCTCCACCCTGAGTTTCTGTTGTGTGTCAGGAAAGTAGAAACACAAGGTACAAAGCAGGGGAGATTTAGTTCCAAAATGTGCCTTTGCTGAGGGAAGGAAAGATACTTGCTCTCTCAGTTTTTCAATCCAATATGTTCTGATAAAGAGCACAATGGGATTTACCCACCATGATTCAAAAGGTGCATGTGAATTACATTGTAGAAACTTCTGCAAGTGATGCACAATGTATTGGGACAATGGTTGTTAGTGAAATATCTGTTACCATGGCTATTTTATTGCATCAGTTCATTTTCAGATCATAACAATAAAGTTGGAACAGTTTCAAAAGGAGCACCAACTCACCAGAGGGAGGAGGAGGCCATCAGCCCTCTGATGCTCTACCATTCAACCTGGCTGGCTGCATGTCAACTCCATGTTCTGTCCTTGGTTCTGTAACTCTTAAAAGAGCTACAAAATAAATTTTAAAATACTGGACCCAAAATGTTAACTCTGATTTCTGTCTGCAAAATAAATCAGTCTCAGCTTTAAAATCCCTTTGTGGAGAAGAGCTCCCTGACATTGCCCCTGAATGGCCAAGCTCTAGCTTTAAGGTTGTGTCCCCTTCTCCCCTCTCATATCCCAACCAGAGGAAACAGTTTCATTTCTCTTATCTATCCTATTACATTTTAAAATAATCTTAAGCACCTCAATCAGATCCCCTCTTACTCATTCTCCTAATTTAACACATCCAGTCCTGTTTGTCTGGTGATTCTGCACTGCACTCTTCCCCAGGCCAATGTACCTTTCCTAAAAATATGGAATAGTTGCTACACGTGTGATCTAGCTAAAACTTTGTATGATTGTAGTAGGGATCTTGTGCCTTTTAAAGGAGCTTCTCCGTACACACATTTCCAGCACCTGAAACACTCCTTTGCTAACGAACCCACAGTGCTAAGATCTAGTGGCTCGTGGGTTCGTTCACTACTAACTAATTTCTGCAATTGGACTCTCAAGTTCAGCCCATGCTTATTCAGTGATAATATCCTTTGTGTAGTTGGGATAAGAGTCCTGTTAAGTTTTGGTTGGTCTTAACACAGTTTTTATTTATTTTGTTGCATTACTCAGAGCTGGTTCAGGATGGTTGAGCGGTATTGCTCTGTGATACAACCAGTAATTTTTGTAAGAACATAAGCAAAATGCCTCAGTCTATATGTGAAGGTGTCAATATTTGACCATCATTATCAGTTTGTGATTTGCAACATTGTATTATGGGAAGTTGGATCTTACTGGAGATGCAGTTTGCTGTACTTTGTTTTGAAGTGTGCCTCCTGACAAATTTATGTAACAGTTCACACAAACACACACTTTATATAACAGTTTGTCTGTTGCAGAATAAGGAACCAGGTTTGCTCATAAATGACAATATAAATCATTTAAACATATTTAGTATTTTATAAAAGTAAATTACTGTGAATGCTGAAACTCTGAAGTAAAGTCAGAAAGTGCTACCAACACTCAGCAGATCCTTAATTCGTTCAGAGGATGAGGGTGTTGCTGGCTAGGTAGCATTTATTGCCGATCCCTAATTGCCCAGAGGGCAGTTCAGATTCAACCACATTGCTGTGAACAAAAAAAAACAAAGAAAATTACAGCACAGGAACAGGCCCTTCGGCCCTCCAAGCCTGCGCCAATCCAGATCCTCTATCTAAACCAGTCGCCTATTTTCCAAGGATCTGTATCCCTCTGCTCCCTGCCCATTCATGTATCTGTCTAGATACATCTTAAATGACGCTATCATGCCCGCCTCTACCGCCTCCACTGGCAATGTGTTCCAGGCACCCACCACTCTCTGCGTAAAGAACTTTCCACGCATATCTCCCTTAAACTTTTCCCCTCACACCTTGAAATCGTGACCCCTAGTAACTGAGTCCACCACTCTGGGAAAAAGCTTCTTGCTATCCACCCTGTCTATACCTCTCATGATTTTGTAGACCTCAATCAGGTCCCCCCTCAACCTCCGTCTTTCTAATGTAAATAATCCTAATCTACTCAACCTCTCTTCATAGCTAGCGCCCTCCATACCAGGCAACATCCTGGTGAACCTCCTGTGCACCCTCTCCAAAGCCTCCACATCCTTTTGGTACTGTGGCGACTAGAACTGTACGCAGTATTCCAAATGTGGTTGAACCAAAGTCCTATACAACTATAACATGACCTGCCAACTCTTGTATGCAATATCCCGTCCGATGAGTGAAAGCATGCCGTATGCCTTCTTGACCACTCTATTGACCTGCGTTGCCACCTTCAGGGTACAATGGACCTGAACACCCAGATCTCTCTCTTCAATTTTCCCCAGGGCTTTTCCATTTACCGTATAGTTTGCTCTTGAATTGGATCTTTCAAAATGCATCACCTCGCATTTACCTGGATTGAACTCCATCTGCCATTTCTCCGCCCAACTCTCCAATCTGTCTATATTCTGTTGCATTCTCTGACAATCCCCTTCACTATCTGCTACTCCACCAATCTTAGTGTCATCTGCAAACTTGCTAATCAGACCATCTATACCTTCCTCCAGATCATTTATGTATATCACAAACAACAGTGGTCCCAAACGGATCCCTGTGGAACACCACTGGTCACAATTCTCCATTTTGAGAAACTCCCTTCCACTACAACTCTCTGTCTCCTGTTGCCCAGCCAGGGTGGGTCTGGAGTCACATGTAGGCCAGACCAGTAAGGATGGCAGTTTCCTTCCCTAAAGGACATTAGTGAACCAGCTGGGTTTTTCTTCGACAATGGATTTGTTGTCATCATTAGATTCTTAATTCCAGATATTTATTGAATTCAAATTCCACCATCTGCCATTGTGGGATTCGAACCCAGGTCCCCAGAACATTACCTGGGTCGCTGGATTAACAGTCCAGCGATAAAACCACTAGGCCATTGCCTCCTCTATGCAACAGCTGCCGTGAAGCAGCTTCTGATGAAAGATATGGTCTTGAAATGTTAATCTAGTGTCTGTCTGTCTCTGTCTCCCCTCCTCCCTCCCTCTCTTCCTCCTCCCCCATTTCTCTCTCTCTCTCTCACTCTCTCTCTCCCTCTCTCTCTCGCTCTCTCTCTCTCGCTCTCTCTCTCTCTCTCTCTCTCTCTCTCTCTGTTCATTTCACAACTAATCCTAAAGAGGAGATAATGGCCTAGTGGCATTGTCATTACACTGTAAATCCAGAGACAGGTAATATTCTGGACACCCAAGTTTGATTCCAGTCATGGTCGATGGTGGAATTTGTGGTGAAGGAAATTTAATAATGAGATAGCGGTGGCACAGCGGTTAGCACTGCTGCCTCACAGCGCCAGGGTCCTGGGTTAGATTCCAGTCTTGGGTGACTATCTGCTTGGGTGTCTGCTGAGTGTTCTGGTTTCTTCCCACAGTCTAAAGATGTGCAGGTTAGGTGGATTGGGCACACTAAAATGTCTGATGTGTGTGCTATGGGGATCAGCCATGGGTAATGCGAGGTTACGGGAATAGGATGGGGTGGGTCTGGATAGGTGTTATTCGGAGGGTCGGTGCAAACTCGATGGTTCGAATGGCCTCTATCTGCACTGTAGGGATTTCATGATCTCCATGCTTTCAGCACTTCCTGTTTTTATTTCAGTATTTTTATGATTAGTACAGATTTCATCAGATCAGCTGCTTTACGGTTATTTGAAATCTATTTTCAGGAGGACAGGAGTCGTCCTTATATTGCTTCAAGTCCCACTAATGGAGAGGAATCTATTCAGGAGAATTGGGTTGCTAAGAATCCATACGATGTCCACTATGGTGATGTTCATTATTATAGTTACACAGCAGACTGCTGGGACTGGACTCATTTTCCAAAGACACGATTTGCATCTGAATACGGCTTCCAGTCGTGGCCATCCTTCTCTACTTTAGAAAGGGTCAGTAAGACTTTCTGTTTCTGTAAGCACCTAGAAATTACTGTTTGGAATTGTTAGACAAGTAAACACATCACCTGAGTAAATTAGTGTTGGTTCCCTTTTGACCAATTAAAATAATTCCATTATATCATGCAGCATATTCCAGTTCTATACATGTTCTGATTTTGAATCTCTTGCTTTGGAGGATCTGTTAAAGAGACCTCTTTAACTCATGGTTGTTTTGACTGTTGAAATTGTTCCGTGCGACTGCTGATTTGGAAATTTACCAAGAGGAATGTTGTTCTGGTTTCGGTAATTTTAGCTGGTCATTAGATGTGTTTGTCATGTCACAGACAGAAATAGTAATTTTTGTTTGTTTTCTAACTTGCAGTTTTCCCTGTGCAAGGTATTGGTGTAGCAATGTAATAAGAGCCTTGTGATGTTAGTGAGCAATACCACTGTCCTGCCAACATGTTTCATGTGTTGAGCAATTCTTTCTGCCAGTTGACTATGTTACGCTGTGGAAGGGTCAACTTGTATCTTCAGCGTTTGTGGTGCAGAGTTTTTGTAAAGGAACTCTGTATTTAGAAATTCAGCAGAAAATTTCTGCCCTTGGTACCATAAAAATTTAAAGATAACATAGAGCCACATAGCACTGAAAGAAGCTGTTTGATTTGTATCTATGCATGCTATTTGAAAGGTCTGTCAAATTTATTTCATACTCCCACAAATCTGTTCCTTTTGAAAGTTGTTGTATCTTTTTCCATATTCTATTTAAGTATAAACTGTTCTTGGACTGAATGAAATCTTAACTGAGCAACAGCTGAAATAAATTTAAGTGGTCAATTCAGTAAATTAGCAATGTACAGGCTCAATGCATTGTTGCATTCGCTAGACATTGACCTTTTTTTATTGAACAGTGAATTCCTTTTCTGGGACCCTTAAAGGCTGAAAGTTGTTGTCTGACATAAACCACCAAACATCAATTCTGATTTCAATTGGTAAATATCCAAGCTTATACTCCATTTGTACTATTTTGTTCTATAAGCAGCAAAGCATAGATATTTTTAGTTAGTGATTTTAACAAGCCTTGCCTGTAGTACTGTTAAAGTCAGTTCTACCAATGACCTGATTAAAATCAGCTAAAGCAGCACAGATTGAGGATTTAACCTGAGAATTTTCCAATGGCTTTGGTTCACTGAAAGGAACTTAATATCTAATAGGTGACACCCCAGTGACAATTTAACCCTTTGGGGAACAGTGAACCAAATATCAGCCGTTTCTGATCCATGAGGTGTGTTTGAAACTACATTGTTGGAATATTTCTGAACAGCTTCACACTTTTCTATTGTATTTGAAGCACATCTTTCTGATGGAGGGAAAAATGGCTTTGCCAAAGTCGGATCTCATGGTTACTACCAGTGCCACGTGCTTGTCAGAGGAGAAATAAAAAGACATATCAGATGAATATGTGGCTGAAAAGATGGTAACGGGGGAAGGGTTTCAGATTCCTGGGGCATCGGGATCGGTTCTGGGGGAGGTAGGACCTGTACAAATTGGACGGGTTATACCTGGGCAGAACTAGGACTGATGTCTTAGGGGCAGTGTTTGCTAGAGTGGTTGGGGAGAGTTTAAACTAATATGCCAGGGGGATGGGAAACCTATGTAAGGAGTTAGAGAAGGAGGGAGCAAGTACAAAAACAAAAGCTAGAAAAGGGAATAAGAAAAGTGATAGGCAAAGAAACTAATGACAAAATTCAAACGAGGCTATTGAGAAAAATAATGGGGAGACAAACTTAAAAGCTTTGTGCCTTAATGCGCAGAGCATGTGCAATAAATTGGATGAACTAATCGCGCAGATAGATGTAAACGGGCACGCTAAAATTGGGATTATGGAGACATGGCTGCAGGGTGACCAGAGGTGGAAACTGAATGTCCCAGGGTTTTCAGTATTTAGGAAGGTCAGGCAAAAAGGAAAAGGTGGTGGAGTGGCATTGCTGGTTAAAGAGGAAATTAACACAATAGTGAGAAAAGATATTAGCTCTGACAATGTGGAGTCTGTATGGGTAGAGTGAGAAATACCAAGGGGCAAAAGACGTTTGTGGGTGCCATATATAGACCCCCAAACTACAGTGGTGATGTTGGGAATGGCATTAAACAGGAAATTAGAGATGCATGTGATAGGGGAATATTGGTGATCATGGGTGATTATAATCTGCACATAGATTGAGCAAATCAAAGTAGCCACAATGCCTTAGAGGAGGAGTTCTTGGAATGTGTACGGGATGGTTTTCTTGACCAATATATGGAGGAACTGCCTTAGACTGGGTACTATGTGATGAGAAGGGAATCATTTCCAATTTAGCTGTGCGAGACCCCTTGGGGAAGAGCGACCATAAGATGATAGAATTTTTTATCAAGATGAAGAGTGAAGTAGTTGATTCGGAGATAGGGTGCTGAATCTTAATAAAGGAAACTACAAGGATATGAGGTGTGAGTTGGCCTTGATAGATTGGGGAGAGTAACTTAAAAGGATGACAGTGGATACGCAATGGCTAACATTCAAAAAATGCATGGGGGAACTGCAGCAACTGTTTATCCTTGTCTGGTACAAAAGCAAAATGGGTCAGAGGGCCAATTCTTGGTTTACAGAGGAAATTAGAGATAGTATCCAATCCAAGGAAGAAGCATACAGATTGGCCAAAAGAAATATTAAATCTGAGAATTGGGAACAGTTTAGAATTCAGCAAAGGAGGACCAAGGGATTGATTAAGAAGGGGAAAATAGAGTATGAAAGTAAGCTTGCAGGGAACATAAAGACTGATGCTAAAAGTTTCTATAGGTACATGAAGAGAAAGAGATTGGCAAAGACAAATGTAGGTCTCCTACAGACCAAAACAGGGGAATTTATAATGGGGGACAAAGAAATGGCTGAGGAACTGAATACGTACTTTGGTTCTGTCTTCACAAAAGACAACACAAATCAGATACCAGAATTGTTGGAGGATGCAAGATTTAGTGAGAGGGAAGAATTGTGGGAGATCAGTATTAGTAGAGAAATAGTGCTGGGAAAATTGTTGGGATTGAAGGCTGATAAATCCTCAGAGCTTGATAATCTACATCCCAGAGAACTTAAGGAAGTAGCTCTAGAAATAGTGGATGCATTGGCGGTCATCTTCCAGGATTCTATAGCCTCTGGAACAGTCCAAGCTTATTGGAGGGTGGCTAATGTCATTCTAGTATTCAGAAAGGGAGGTAGAGAGAAAACAGGGAATTGTGGACCAGTAAGCCTAACATCGGTAGTGGGCAATATTCTCAAATCCATTATCAAGAACTTTATTGTAGAGCATTTAGAAAGCAATGGCAGGATCAGACAGAGTCAGCACGGATTTATAAAGGGGAAATTATGCTTGACAGATCTGTTGCAATTCTATGAAGATATATCAAGTAGAGTTGACAAGGGGGAGCCGTTCGATGTGCTTTATTTGGACTTCCAGAAAGCGTTTGACAAAGTCCTGCGTAAGAGATTAATGTGCAAGATTAAAGTGCATGGGATTCGGGGAAGTGTAGTGCGATGGATAGGAAACTGGTTGGCAGAGAGGAAACGAAGAGTAAGAATTAATGGGTTCTTTTCAAATTGGCAGGCAGTAACTAGTGGGGGTGCCACAGGGATCGGTGCTGGGACCCCAGCTATTCACACTATATATTAATGATTTGGATAAGGGAACAAAATGTAACATCTCCAAGTTTGTAGATGATACCAAGTTGGGTGGGATGGTGAACTGTGACGAGGATGCAGAGATCCTTCAGCATGATCTCGACAGGTTGGGTGAGTAGGCAAATCAATGGCAGATGCAGTATAATTTGGATAAATGTGAGGTTATTCACTTTGGAAGCAAAAACAAGAAGGCAGATTACTACCTGAATGGCTGTAAATTGGGAGACGGGAGGGTGCAGTGGGACCTGGGAGTCCTTGTGTACCAGTTGCTGAAGGTAAGCATGCAGGTGCAGCAGGTGGTAAAGAAGGCAAATGGTATGTTGGCCTTTATTGCAAGAGGTTTAGAATACAGGAGCAGGAATGTGTTGTTGCAGTTATACAGAGCCTTGGTGAAGCCACATCTAGAACATTGTGTGCAGTTTTGGTCTCCTTTTCTGTGGAAGGATGCTCTTGCTCTCGAGAGAGTGCAGCGAAGGTTTGCCAGGCTGATTCTGGGGATGGCGGGACTGATGTATGTGGAGAAATTAACTAGATTAGGGTGGTTTTCCCTGGAGATCAGATGAATGAGGAGTCGCAGTCTGAGGATTCGGGTTAGACTATTTAGGGTAGAGATGAGGAGACATTTCTTCACCCAGAGAGTGGTGAGCCTTGGAATTCATTACCACAGAAAGTAGTTGATGTCAAAACATTGAATGTATTCAAGAGGTGACTAGATGTAGCACTAGGGGCAAATAGGATCAAAGGTTATGGGAGAAAGCAGGATTAGGCTATTGAGTTGGATGATTAGCCATGATCGTGAAGAATGGTGGAGCAGGCTTGAAGGGCTGAATGACCTCCTTCTGCTTCTATCTTCTGTGTTTCTATATACTTGAAGAGCCTGCTCTATATCCTCACTTGTAGAAAACCAAGTAGCCATGAGACTAAAATAAATATTTTAGGCAATATTGAGGAAAATGAAATAACTCTAATTCTGTTTGTTTTTAATTAACAAGGTTTCTTCTCCTGAAGACTGGTATTACAATAGCTCTTTCACCAATCACCGACAGCATCAAGTTGCAGGCAACAAGAATTTGCTGTATCAAATACAGATTCACTTTAACCTTTCTCATGCAAAGAAGACACCCCTGCAAAGCTTTAAAGATACACTTTATCTTACTCAGGTAGTGACCTAATCTGTACTGTGACCTATACTGTATCAGAACAATTTAATGTTTGGAACTCATGATAATGAAATGGAAACTCATTTTTCTTCTCAATTGTAGGTGAATTAATGGTCATCAGCTACTGGGTTATGTACACATAAATATCTTAAACAGATTAATTGGACAAATAAAAATAGCTGGACTGCTGGTGTTCAACAATGCCAGTAGGGAACTCTGAATTCCTGGATTTGTGTGTGTTACCTTCTCTTAGCTAAGCTAGCAGGTTAACACTGGACTGTAGCAGAAATACTGCATTGCAGACTTGGAAGGCTGATACAAGTGTTTTATGTAACTCCCTATTAATCAATTATAAAGTGGAATTGTATGAGGTTTTATTGAGCCTTAATAGCCAGGTCGTTGCATTTCTACTATGAAAAAGCAGAGTTTCGGAGGAGGAGGAGGAGGAATGTAAATTGTTGATAAAAAGAACAAAGTGTTAACAAAAATCTAATTGAGTTTTTAGTGGGAAATTACAAACTTCTTGTGGATATGAAGAAAATAGGACCAGTTCAGAGATACTTCAATTTAAGATTTCCACTTTTTGTGGAACCTTTGAAGATTTTAGATACTTAAGTTTGAGGACAATAGAGCACTTTTAGACAGGACATAGATTTAGATCATTTCAAGCCAGGGTCTACGTCTTCCTTTTGTTTGATATAGTAACATTGATGATGATGTGTACCCATCATTAAGATGTGCTCCTTTATGTTCTGTATATAACATACAGGTAATGCAAGCCGAATGTATAAAAGCCCAAACTGAATTCTACCGTCGAAGTCAAAGTGAGATCATCGATGGTCAAGGATTGACGATGGGGGCATTATACTGGCAGCTAAATGATATCTGGCAGGCTCCCTCCTGGGCTTCCCTTGGTATGCATTTTCCTAACAAAAGACATCTTTATACTTTGTACCCCTTGAATTCCAGCACAAAAGCTTTCTCCTACAAACAAATAATTTCTGATGTTAAGAGACCTTTTGAATGCTTTAATGTCTGCACAAGGTCATGATGGTCTAAAAATGTTCTCTTTAAAAATTAATTACTGGGATAGGTTCACTGATACTGTGTTGTTGAGCAAGACCCATGTTTATACAATGCCTTTCATAACCTCAGCATGTTACAAAATTGTTTACAGCCAATTAAGTACTTTATCAAATGTAGTCACTACTGTAATGTAGGAAACACAGTAACCATAATGACCAGAAAGTCTATCAAAAAATGGTGTCTCTAACAATGCAGCATTTCCACAATACTGAACTGAAGTGTTAACATAGGTTTTGTGTTTAAAGCTTTGGAGACTCGAATGCACACTTCACTGACAAGAATGTTTATGATGAGCCATACCGAGGCTTTTCCATATCTGAAAATCACAGATACTTTGATTAGTATTTTATATGTGCTGATGTAATTTCCTGTAGGCCCATACTTGGATCATTTGAGGCTACTGTCAGAATATAGATTAATAAAAACGGAAGCAGTGTTACGTTACACATTTACATTCATGCAAAGTGGCTTTGAATCAATGCAAACTGGATGTATTACACCATCTTCATTAGAATGAAACAAGTAATGTGAGAGAACACTTTGTACCACTTCAGAACGACACTGTTGGAAATATAAATGTATGTTGAGGTTGTACAGGGCATTGGTGAGGCCTCTTCTGGAATACTGTGTGCAGTTCTGGCCGCCCTGCTATAGGAAGGATATTATCAAGCTGGAGAGGGTTCGGGAGAGATTTACCAGGATGTTGCTGGCTATGGAAGGTTTGAGTTATAAAAATAGGCTGGGACTTTCTTCTCTGGAGCGTAGGAGGTTGAGAGGTGACGTTATAGAAGTTTATAAAATAATGAGAGGTATAGATAGAGGTAATGGTAGTTGTCTTTTCCCTAAGGTGGGGGAATTTCAAGACCAGGGGATACATTTTTAAGGTGAGAGGAGAGAGATTTAAAAAAGACTTAAGAGGCAAATTTTTTACACAGAGGGTGGCTCGAGTGTGGAATAAATTTTCTGAGGAAGGGGTGGATGTGGGTACAATTACAACCTTTAAAAGACGTTTGGATAGATACATGAATAGGAAACATTTGGAGAAATATAGGCCAGGAGCAGGCAGATGGGACTAGATTAGTTTGGGATTATGTTTGGCATGGAATTGTTGGACCGAAGGGTCTGTTTCTGTGCTATCTGACTCTATGGCTCTACAATGTGAAGGCAAGTTTGAAAACTAATATTTCTCAATTTCAGGCTTCAGACTGAAATTCTTGTTTGGAAAACTAAGCTAGTCCACAGATATCTGGAGGAGAAAATTATTTATCTGAAGGCAAAATTAAAATGTTATTAATTGCCTATTTCGCAATAGATTCCTGAGTTTGGACTGTTGCAGTTATTAACATTTTTAAACCTAAAATTATATGGTTACAGTTTTTGTCATTGAGTTATACAGCACAGGATGAAACAAGGACTGGTATTGTAATTAGCAGGATATGACCAGAGGTGTTCTGTAAAGATCTGTATTGGGACCTTGACTGTACACTGTATTTGTTAATGGCTTAAATGTTTGCATAAAAAACTACGTATCAAGATTTACTGATGACACACAGATGGCATGTAAGTATTGTAGACGAGCATAAAATAACAAGGAGATATTGAGAAAGTAAAGAATCGCAGAATTACAGTATCACTAAATTATTGTAGTGTAGAAGGAGGCTATTTGGTCCATCATACTTGCACAAGTGGGCAGAAGAAAGAAACATGGGCTAATCCACTCTGGACTTCAAAAAGGAGAGACCAGGAAATGTTCTAAATGCTGAAATACTAGCAACAATGGAGGTCCAAAGAGAGTTTGGGAGGAGCTGTTGGGTACTCTGATCGTTAAAATGTCATAAATAGCTACAGGAAACAATCAGAAAGTTAATCCAAGCCTGTTCTGAAGAGTCACTGGACTTGAAGCATTAACTGTTTCTCTCTCCACAGTCATTGCCAGACCCGCTGAGTTTCTCCAGCAATTTCTGTTTTTGTTTGTTTCAGATCTTCAGTCTCTGCAGTTCTTTGTTTTATTATACATTTCCAACAGTTGGCAAAAGGGAATGTTTTGGTAGAACAGAAGCACACCGTCTTTAGGTTGGGGAGTGGGGGTTTCTGATACACAAACTGCTTTGTGGATTTTCCTAACTTTATCTTTGCTTTGAGAGATGTGTGGTGGGAAGCTGCTTTAAAGTTATTTATGGTTTAGACTTTGACCTTCATTTGAAGAGTGTTGAGTATCGTAAACACATTGCTGTTTGTGAGAGCTTTCTATGTACATATTGTCTGCAGTGTTACCTGCATTCCAACATGCCTCCACTTTGGAACGTATTTTGCAATGAAGCATTTTAGGTGTTCTGAAGTTCTGAAGGATGCTGTAGAAATTCATGTCTTTTTTATTTTAGAAAATAAACCACTTCAAATCCTTTTGCTCAGCTTCCAAAGATTTGTGTTTGATTTTGTCGGATTATTCCAGGGAAGATGCACTGCACTGTTTACAATTCTACTTAGCAGATTGGCAGCCATTTAAATACTTGGCAGGTCTATGTTTCTATTCTACGATAAATTTTGTAAATTGATGTTCTGGCAAGAAAGAAGAAAGAACAGTTTTATTTGCTTGCATACCCCAGCATTCTCAGTAGTGCTTATTTTCCAACTACTGGAAGTGTAGGACATATTGTTGGCCATTATTCTCCAGTTGTACTATTGGAGGGGGTGGGAGAAATAGTTGCCACAACAAGACAACATGAGAGATGAAGTATGGTCTTCTAGCTAGGAAGTATCTACAGAGATTTGAATTTTGGTCTTTCCAAATCAAAAGATATGTGGAATGAATGGAGAAATTGGAGCTAGGACAGAATCATCCATGATTTTATTGAATGTTGGAGCAGGCTTGAGAGGATGCCTAGATTACTCCCTGCTCCCTTTTTATGTTGTTGTTATTTTTGATAGATTCTGTATTTTGAGTTCCTCATGAAAGGTGCGTGCATTTGTACTAGGCAATGTAAACTTCTAGTAGAGAATATCTAATCAAAAATGACCTCTTTGGCTTGTGTGATAACCTTCTCAACTTTCATTTTCCAATTCATACACATTTGGTGAATTATCTCTTCAAGTGAACATTAAAATGTAATGTTTATACCTCAAAAGAATTGACCTCTGATAAAAATGCAAAACGTCCCAAATAATTTGTAAGGTCAGAGTAACGCAGAGGTATTAGATATTAGGGGTGCACTGCATTGTCTGTGATGCTGTCATTTGGACAAGATATCAATTAAGATTCCATCTGTCTTCCCTGGTGGATATGAAAAATCCCTTGGCATTATTCTGAAGAAGCACAAAGGGAGTTCTCCGCAATGTCGTGACAAATATTTATTCCTGAAATAACATATGTTAAAAATACACAGATTACCTGATTGTTATCATATTGCTGTTTGGTGGAGCTTGTGTGTACAAATTGGCTACGTTTCCTAATTTGCAATAGCGACAATACTTTAAAAGTAATTCATTGACTATAAAGAGCTTTGGAATATTTGGAGCCCTGTTATGACGCAGTGGTGTTCCTACCTTTGAACCGGGAGGCCTCAGTTCAATTCCCATCTGCTCCAGAATTGTGTAATACCATCTCTGAACAGGTTGATTAGAAAAATAGGGACATTGGCATTGGGAAAGGTGCTATATGAATGTATATGAATTCTTGTTTTCTTTGTTGCACTGTTGGTCATATGATGACAATTCTGATTAACTTACCTCTTTCCTCTGCAAAATTTTACCTCTGAACTTCCCATTTTAATTTGTTAATCTGTTTAGGTTTGCTACTTCTAAAAGTGTAGTACATGTCTTTATGGTTAGAATTTCAAAGCAAGCCAATACTAATGTGGATGTATTTTTAGTTATTGTTGCTGTAGCAGCTGAAAATGCCTCATTCTTTTTCCTTCTCCCAGAATATGGAGGTAAATGGAAGATGCTTCATTACTTTGCACGGAATTTCTTTGCTCCTGTTTTGCCAGTAGCTTTTGAAGAGCATGGAACACTTTTGATCTATGGTGTTTCTGATTTACCCTCAAACCTTAAACTCATTCTTCAGGTATGCATTACTTAAGGAGATACCAGAACCAGGTAACTACCAGGAAAGACTGAAGGCTTCGTGCTCTCTTCTGTAGGAAAGAGAAGACCAAAGGCTGACCTGTTTGATGTTTCTGAAATTGTTAAGTAGTATAACACAGAAAAGATATTTCTATTTGTGGGGAGACCAAAATTATAAATTTAAGAAAGCTAAAAAAAAATCCAATCAGAATTCAGGAGAAATCTCTTTAACCAGAGACTGGTGAGAATGCGAAACTTGGTTATGTCGGAAAGGTTTGATACAGTTAGCATGAATGCATTAACAGGAAGCTGGCCAAGCACATGGGCTGGGGGTTAGAAAGAAGATGGGAGGTGTTTTATTTCCCAAACATGAGCATTGACATGGACTGCATGAGGTGATTAGCCTGTTCTGTGTTATAAATACTGTAAACCCCTGATGGTTGATTCTTTAGCCTTTTATCTGGGAAAGTTGTATTTTAACCCCATTGGTTAGATGTGAATTAAGTGTCACTTGTGATTGGAACCTGCTTATCTTCCGCTTTAGGCAATTGTTTCAACTCCAGGAAAAGGTTGCTAGCTCATGAACTTGAGATGGTCGATGTTTGTAACCAGTGTGAATTCTGTAAATTGCAGTAGAGTTTCTGAAAGATTCGCAAGGTTCTGTTTATGACTACTTGAATGCTTTTAAAGTCAAGTGATCAGCCAAACCTGATTAATTTTTAGTTCGGAAATGGGGAGCCTCTTGAGGGACATTATCAGAAGTATGGACTATTGAACTGAATGGCCTGTTTCTCTGCTATATATTCTATAAAGTACAGACAATAGTTAACAATTCAAATGTAAACAGGTTACATGTTTGGAACTCTACTTGATTCAGTCTGGGCAATATGAAAGCTACCTGTATTGATATAAATATTATTATTGTTCATTCAGTCTCTCTAGCAAACCCAGTTAATCTTTTTAACAACAGCCTCATTCCTTATCTATTGTAAGATTGTGTTTCTTTTGCAAGACAACTTGAGTTACAGCATTTAATCTTAAACTGATGCTCTGGTGTCATGTATCAGCTGGAACTCATTGTATGAGCTATAAATTTGATTTTATTTAATTCTTAATATTTTTGCTCTGTAGGTTAAGGTTTACAAGTGGAATTTGATGAAACCAGTGTGTGTTTATGCCACTGAGTCATTTATTCTTAAGGCAAGGACTGCAGCCCCTGTCTACAAGGAAGTCACTGATAATCTGCTGAGGCGATGTGACTGCAGCAGATATAACTGCATAGTAACATTTTATCTTGAAGAAAATGGCCAACAGCTTGGACCTTCAAACTATTACTTATTATCTTCTTTAAAAGATGCTCAGATGCTCAGAAAGCCACAAGTTAATGTAAGTAATAATGTTATGTCTCCTTGAACACCTCTATAAACTATCTAAAAATAACTATGAACTGAAAGAACTGTGGAAGCTGTAAATTGGAAAGAAAAACAGAAGTTGCTGGAAAAACTCAGCAGGTCTGGCAGCGTCTGTGGGGAGAAATCAAGAGTTAACATTTTGGGTTGAATGACTTTGACCCAAAACGTTAACTCTGATTTCTCTCCACGGATGTTGCCAGACTTGCTGAGTTTTTCGAGCAATTTTTATGTGTGTAAGTAAAAATAATTACAGTTGTGATTTGAATTGATTAAACTATGAGCTGCCTTGCTCAGTGCCTCAGATATCTCAAAATCATGGCCACTTAACTTGTGATTTATCACCATTAGCAAATGTTGTGGTGCAGTGGTAGTGTCCCTACCTCTGGGCCAGAAGGGCCAGGCTCAAGTCCCACCTGCCTTGAAGATGTGCCATAACACAGATTCATTAGAAATACTTAGTCTAAGATATACATCTAACATGTCCTTAAAATAATCCTTCTTTTTAAGAGTTATAAAATGTGCAAACGTGCTTGGACTGAATTCCTGTTTGAATAGTTGCACAGTTTTAAAGTTTTGTCTTGAAAGTATATCATCGTTTCAGCAGGTGATCCGAACAGTTGGATTTGAAGATCTTACCCAGTGTAGGGAATTTAATTAAAATTGTTGTAGCATATTTACTTACTGAATTTCTGCAGGACCTTTCTTTTCCTTCCATGCTTGTTACTGTACATATGAACAAGGAATAAGTGTAGGCCACTCGGCCCTTTTGAGCATGCTGAACCATTCAATACGATCATGGCTGATCTGATTTTAACCGTGACTCTATATTCCTACATATCTCTCGATAATCTTTCATCCCTTTGGTAATCAAGAATCTGTCTACCTCTGCCTTCAAAATATTTAAAAATTCTGCATCCACTACCTTTTGAGGAAGGGAGTTCCAAAGACTCTCAGTCCTCTGAGATAAAAAAAAGTTTCCCTGTCTCTGTCTTAAATGGGTTTTATAACTCTGACCCCAGTTCTAGATCACAAGAAGAAACATAGCTTTAATCCATCTAGTCAAATCCCCTCAGGATCTTGAATGTTTCAATAAAGTCACCTCTGACTCTTTTAAACTTCAGAGAATACTGGCCTCGTCTGTCTTGCCTTTCCTCATAAGGCAATCTACTCATTCCAGGGATTACTCTAGTAATCTTCTCTGAACTGTAATCTTTATGTAACTTACATCCTTCTGTAAGTACAGCAACCAGTACTGTACACAGTACTCCAATATGCAGTAAATGATATGAGGTATACACTGCATTCATCCAATATAATTAGCCTGGGGGCTTATACCATTTTTGCAGCCAGGCTGGCTTTACTATAATTGACAAATTGCCTGCAATACTTACACACAGCATGTATCACTATTGCTCAACTGGCTGGAACTGCACTTACCTGGTTCAATGCTTAACCATCTGATCAGAACCAGAGAATCTCTTCCAATGACTTCCCTTCCCTTCCCTTGCCGATCCCTCACTGTTAGCTGTTGTGCCTAAGGATTCATCCTTGGTCCCTTCCTATTTCTCGCCTGCATGTTGCTACTCAACAACAAAGACATCGTCAGTTTCCACATGAGCACTGAATGCTTCACCTCTACCTCACCACCACGTGTCTCAATCTCCGTTGTTGCTAGCTGATCAGACTGCTTCCCTGACATCCAGGACAGGATGAACAGACACTTCCTCCAACTCAATATTGGGAAGTCCAGAGAGCTCAACCACTCCTTGTTTACAAGCCCTTTGTCCCAGGGATCATTCTTGTAAACCACCTCTGGACCCTATAAAATGCCAGCACATCCTTCCATAGATAAGGGCCCAAATCTGCTCACAATGTTCCAAATACGGTTAGATCAGAGCTTTTATAGCCTCAGCAGTACAGCTCTACTGTTGTTTTTTGCCCTCTTGAAATGAATGCTGACATTGCATTTGCCTTCCTAATTGCCAACTGAACTTGCATGTTTTAGCTGAAGGGAATCCTCAACTAGGACTCCTAAGTTCCTTTATGCTTCAGTTTTCTGCAGTCTTTCCCTGTTTAGAAAATAGTCTTCACCTCTTCTTCCTACTAAAGTGCATAACCTCACACTTTTCCACATTGCATTCCACCTGCCACTTTGCCCACTCGCCGTAGCCTGCCCGAGTCCTTCTGCAGCCTCCCTACTTCCTTGACGCTACCTGTCCCTCCACCTATCTTCAGGACATCTGCAAACTTAGCAACAATGCCCTCAGTTCCTTCATCCAGATGGTTAATGTGTAACATGAATAGTTGTGGTCCTAACACTGACCCCTGTGGAATTCTACTAGTCACTGGCTGCCATCCTGAAGAAGACCCCTTTATCCCCACTCTCTGCTTTCTGCCAGTCTGCCAATCCTCTTTCCATGCCAGTACCTTGCCCCTAACACCATGGGCTCTTATCTTATTTAGCAGCCTCCTGTGCAGCACCTTGTCAAAGGCCTTCTGGAAATCCAAACATTCTACTCTTCGTAAATTGAAATCATCCACAACTCTGCTGTAAGTGTCATAACTTGCACCAAGACCCGCTGATCTATCATCTGTTTGAATCTCTCTTTTGTGGCTTGTCACATTTTGATAATTCTCCTGTGTGCTTTCCTGTGAGAGACATTTTACTGTGTTGAATATCTAAGCTTTGTTGTTAGTGTATTGGAGAAGTTCAGTGAATCAGCCAAAGCTCTGATTCTGAGAAAAAGGACAAAGGTTTTAGGAGCCCAGCCTTTAGAATTGGAATTTGCACGCACGCAAGATCCCAGACGTTATGAATTAAGGCGAAATATTGCGTCCAATTCTGGTCACCACCCCTTAGGAAGGATGCCAAGGACTTGAGAGGGTACAGCTTTACAAAACTTCAGTTTGTGGAGAGACTGCAGAGGCTGGGATGGTTAGAAAGAGGTGTTCAAAGGCATGAATGGTTTTGCAAAGATAGGTAAGGAGAAACTGCTTCCAATAGTGAGGAAGTTGCTAACCAGAGGGGACAGACTCCAGATAAGTGACAAAAGAATCAGAGATGGCCTGAGTGTTCTACGCGATGAATGAATGCATTGCTTGAAAGGGTAATTGAACTACTTATCTAGTAACTTCCAGATGAAAAATGGATGAATAGTTAAGTAGAAAATATTGCAGGATCACACAAAAGAGAAAAGAAATAGAATTAATTGGATAGTACAGGCAGGATGGGATGAATTGTGCTATATTAATACTGTAGACGATTCTGTTCAGGCAGCGGTCTCTCCTCTCAGGTTGTGCAAAGTATGATTTCCTTCACTAGTTCTAAATTATTCTTATACATTTGTTAAGGTTTGACAGCTTCTGTGGTTCGTGAACACAGCATTCCCCTTTGGACACCTGTAGCAAGCACTTGGGTGGGTACTGTAATTTGATGGCTGTTATTGGACCAGTTATCCAAAGGCCTAATTAATACTTCAGAAGAGTGAGTTCGAGTGGATTGGGGAACTTAAATAGAATCCGCCTAGAATGAAGAGTTGTTCCTGGTAATTGTGACCATGAAACTACTGGATTACCATAAAAATAAATCTGATTCATGAATATCCTTAAGGGATGGAAATCTGCCGCTGTCCATTCTGGCCTATGTGTGACTCTAGACCACTGCAGCTGGATAAGTCTTAATTGCTTTCTGAAATGGCTCAGCAAGCCATTTGGTTGTATTCAAGGAGGTGCCTCACCCTCAAAGACAATAAGCGTCTCAGCTGCAAGATTCATTCTTTTGTATAGATTAAAGGTGATGGCCTAGTGGTATTATCACTAGACTATTAATCCAAAGACCTTGCTAAATGTTCTGGGGAACCTGGATTCTAATCCTGCCACAGCTGATGATGGAATTTGAATTCAATAACTTCCTGGAATTAAGTATCTAATGATCACCATGAATCCATTGTCAATTGTCGGAAAAACCCGTCCAGTTCACTTATATCCTTTAGGGAGGGATACCGCCATCCTTACCTACATTTGACTCCAGACCCACAGCAATGTGGTTGACACTTGACTGCCCCCTGCAGTTAAGGATGGATAATAAATGCTGGCTTGGCCAGTGAAGCCACATCCCATGAATGAATGATTAAAAAAAACCCGATCAGTAAGTATGCCCTTCTTTCGCTCTGCTCTATTCCATTTCTGTGTTGACAGTTGCCTTAGCCTCCCATTGCTAGTCCGACTACATGAATTGCAGCATGTAGTATTTGCTCTGCTACTTTGTTGTGTAAGTAGTACAGCAGTTGAAATTAGAAAAATTGTCTGAAGTAGCATTTGAAATTAAATTTTGATATTTCATCAGGAGCTAATTGAAGTTTTATGAATGTTGTCTCCTCTGGGATTTCAGGTTAAGAAATGACAGATACTATTGGTATAATTTCATTTAGATGCACTTCAGTACTGTGAGAGCCCATTTGTAAAGATTTAGCCTGTTCTGTCATATTAGCAACCCTTTACTAACATTTATCTTAATAACTAAGGGAATGTATGCCAGGGAATCTTTCTGCATGGTTGAAAAGAAAGTCTAACAGCAGCATCCTGTCCTTTTTTTAAGGCCACCATCAGTCAGCAAGGGGAGACGTACTGGATCACTCTAAAGGCTTCAAGTATTGCCCCTTATGTCTGGCTGGATGTAGGTAGTATCCGGGGAAGATTTAGTGATAATGGCTTCCTCATGTTGGAGAACATCAAGCTGACGACTTTTCACCCATGGCGCCCAACCAACATTTCAGAATTGAGGAAATCTCTACGTGTTCACTCACTTCTGGACATTTATTGATAATGAATGAAGGTAGAGAGTGTCTGATGTGCATAATCTACATGGAGACTTCTTGTGTAACTAATCCATCAAAGAGGACATAATTTGAATGAAACTGAATTGAAATTGACAAAAATGAAGATTGTTAATTTTCTGTTAGTCTTGTTCAGAATTGGATGTGTTTGAAACCAAGGAAAGGAAAAGGTTTGTTTTGTTTCCAGTTATGAAGTAATTTTATATTTAATTCAGTTAAAGAACGATGCAGTGTTTTCTTGGTATATGTTTTGTATTGACTTTGTATCAGTGTATATTGTAAATCTTTAATTTGCAGTTCAGTATTTGGAATACCTTCTTACCCAAAATCAGCTTCTTTGGACTCGCCACCAGCCTGGGTGAGTAACACCTACAATACCATCCAGGACAAAGCAATCCACATAACCCACGGGCTTTTAAATAGAGAACTAATTGTCAGAAATATAATGTTTAAATAAAAAAGTATGTTTATAAATATGTTTTTATTATAAGATGGCACTGTTTAAATGCAAATGTAAAAAAAAGGACTGTGTTCAAGGTAGCTTGTTTCTCAAATAGGTTCAGTGAATTAATGAAATAAATAATTTTCATCAACTTCTATTATGTTGTTGATTCCATGTGCAGGAGCTGTTTGCTTGGAGTTCATTCCAAAGGAAAAATAATCAAAAAGTATCGTTCAGCTGAAGCAAGAGAGACAGTAGAATATTATAGGGTAATGCTCTGGAGACATGGGTTAAAACCCCACCACAGCAGTTGGTGGAATTCACATCCAATCGGTAAAATCTGGTATAATCAATGGTGACCCAGATGGACCTTTTCATCAGCTTTCTCCTTACCCAGTCTGGTCTGCATGTGACCCCAGGTCCACGGTAACATGGTTGAGTCTTAACTGCAGTAAAATGGTTTAACAAAGTACTCGGTTGAAGAGTGATTAAAGATGAGTAACAAATACTGGTCTTGCCAGTGACACCTATATCCCATGAAAAAACTTGATAAAAAGTTCTACTTTAGTAACTCTGGGTAAAGATGCTTAATGAAAACATTCCTACAAAACATTGAGCTGTTTCAATCTCGCTTTCAGCCATTTGTGTTGATATCAGAAGCCACTGCTTTATCCTGTTTCTGTCAACAGAAGACCTGTGTCCGAGGCAGAGCAAGTACTGGAGGTGGTAAGGTATGTTTAGCGATTGCCAGATAAGATTTTAAGTTCATAGGATGGGACAGCTCATGCTTGAGGGTCTTTGATCATAATTAGCATAATCAGTTGTTCCCAGCATTTATGGGAACTTTGAAGGACAGCCTTGACTAAGCTATTTACTTACAACGGGTATCAATACTTTGTTCAGCAACTGCTCGAATATCTCCAGACAGTGGGTTCTGGTAATTTTGCTGTTTGTATTGTCTCTCCTGCCTTTAACCCTAACAGCCTTTCCTTCTGGCTGTTTCCTCCCACAACCACCTTACTCTGTACTCCCTTAAACCCAGTAACTTCTGACATTTTTCAGTGGAGGCAAAAGGTTACAGTCCTGAAATGTTAATATTGTTTCTCCCTCTAGCAATGTTTCCTGGCCTGATAGCTCAGCGTTTTCTGTGTGGGTTCTATTGGGAAGTTAATAAATGAGAAGACCTTCTCCAATAAGAATTGGAAATGTTTTTTATTATAACAGTGAGTCCATTTGATGGGGTGGCACTGCAGCACATACATTTGTTGTCTTCAGCGAGTGTCAGATCATTTTATTTTGAAAGAACTCGGGTAAGGTTATTATTTCAGTAATTACTTACAGCACAAATTGTTTGAAGAGGTCAATCTATTACTCTGTTAGCTAGGAGAAAGTACAGCTAATATGCAATGTGTGTGTTGCTCTGGTTTGCTATGTTCCACTGGTGTCCCGTCATTGGAGAAATTAACTTCAAAGCAAAAGACTGCATTTATGTAGCAACTCAAGTACAAAGATTGAGGTTGTTACCATTAGAGCTGTCAATGAACTTAATTCAAGAGTTACCATCATGTATATAAATTTAATACAAGACAGGAACTAAACTTCCTGAAACATAATAACTTAAAGGTGTTGTGCATTCATTCCTTCCCCTAACTACTTATTGAAATCCACATGGAAACTGGAAAATCAAAATGGAGAACACCCTCAATGTGGCCTGACATTTTGTACAGCTCCCTCCATCACATGTTTTTCTCTAATCTTTACAAGCAGCTTTACAGTGTGTCTGTCTCTCCATGGTTAGTTTTCCTGTACCATGTATTGTAGTCCATCTACAAACACACACATTTGCCTGAAATAGTTCCCTCTAGTGGGAATGTAAACCCATTAAACAGTGTAATTTTAAGGTAACTGACCAGTTTACCATAGAGGATTTTTCCATTCACTTCCTTGCCAAATTTACAATGTTTGTTTGTATAAATTGTATTTGCTTCCTGCTTGCATTCTCCAAATTTGATCTTGTCTTACAATATCACTGTGCCCATGTCACTCCCCATTTCTCAATAATAGCTTTTTCCCTTCCTAGAAATTTAAGTCACTACTCGGCATATTCAGTTTTGGTTTCAAAAGGTTTTTGCGAAACATTAGTGCAAATAGATTCACAATGACTTCATTTAGATCCTTGGTATCCTAAGATTTATACAGAGTAATAATGCAATGAATTGACATTAATTCTCATGAGCTCCCCATCATGTATATAAATTTAATGCAAGACATTTGGCATGTCCAAGACTGCAACCATGGAACATATTTCACTGGTGAAATAAGGAATTCCTGAACCAGGGTGACTTAGTAATATCAAAGGTGTTTTGTAATTTCTGAACCTGTTTGATTTCATAATCAGTTAGGATCTCTGCAATAATGATTCAAGCTGGGGACAAAACTACCAGTTGGTTCAATTTTTAATTGCTTATGAAAACAAAAACTTACAAAATTTAAACTACATTAAGCAAGATTTTTTTAAAAAGACTAATTTAGACAACCAAAGCTGCTGTAACTATTTACAAATATCTATTTAAGGTTGTTGAGACAGGCTGTGGTAAAATGTACAATCAGCTTTTTGTTGAATATAAAAATCACAATTCAGCTTAGAGATTACCAAAGCAAAACCCCCTCAACTGTCTTCATTTTCTGCATTTGCAAAAATGCATGGCCATATGAAAAGATTGCAGACAAACCGAGAAGCTTCTCTTTGTTAATACTAATCAGTACTAAGAAAGACAGACCTGCATTTCTATAGCACCGTGCAGTCACTGTAAAATGTAGGATACACAGCATGATCCCACAATGTGATAATAACCAGAATCTAGTTAAAGAATATATATTTCCCTGGACACTGGAGGGAAGGTAACCGAATCTCTGTCATCGGAGCTTTTATATGCTTCTGAAAAGACAGATGGTACCTCAGTTTAACGTCTTATCCAAAAGACGGCACCTCTGACAATGCAGCACTCTCAGTTCTCCACTGGGATTGTCAGGCTGTACAGGTGTGTTCAAGCCTTTAGAGTAGAGCTCAAGCACATAGGACTGCTGGCTTTGCAAATGATAATTCTTGGTCCATGTATAGATTTATATTTATTTTATAAAATGAGGGGAATTGAATAATAGTTATTTAAGTCAGAGAACTTGTCTGATTAAATCGAAGCACTGACCTGTGTTAAAATAATGTCTTATGACAATAATTAGAGCTGGAACAACATAGGTCTCAGATTACAAACTAGGTTGAAATCCATTAACTGCATTTGCTTCGGTTGGTCCTGATTAATCAACTATACTGAGATCCTTGCTGCAATCTTCACAGTTCAAAAGAAGTCTGGTTGTTGCTGTAACATTCTGTTGACATGTGGCTTAATCTCCTAAACGATGTCTCCACTCCACTGTCACACACACTGTCACACTGCTGGGATTTTGTGTCAATCTGAACAACTGTTTGAAAAGAATGAGAGGTTAAAGTTCTTTATCACTAAGAAAGAGATCAAAGTAATGACATAATTAAACACAATGGTGTTTGTTTGCCCTTTTAAATAAGTTGATTTGGTAAAGTATATCATCAAGGAGTAGAATATTTGTTAATGCTGCTTACTCAATTATAACAATTCCCCAAAATAATTTTACTGCTATTTTAATTCCTATGCATTCAAAATTCTTAAAAGTAGAAATTCTGCAGTGGTGATATGAAGATGAAAAATTTTAGGAACTAGGAATTAACCGCTAAGAAACTCGGAGGTAGAAAAGTTGTAGTGGTGGGTCTGAAGAAATATCACAGTTCACCACAAAACCGCTTTTGTGCTATATATTTCACCCTTAGTTACTGCACATTTGCTGAAACGAGGGAAAACACATAAAAAGCACACTGGGACTTTTTGCAAATTGAAATTATAAAATACTGAGGGAATAATTTACCAGCTTGATATACAAGTAGAACATTTAATATTTTATTAATGTAGAAGTAACTTTGAGGTAAATCTTTCCTGAATGATCTTTGAATTTGGAATGAAATGGTACTTACCTTTTTTTTTTAAGAATCCCTGCAGTGGGGAAACAGGGCCTTCGGCCCAACAAGTCCACACTGACCTTCAGAGCATCCCACCCAGACCCATCCCCCTATAACTCACCTAACCTACACATCCCTGAACACTACGGGCAATTTAACAAAGCCAATCCACCTAGCTTGCACATCTTTGGACTGGGGAGGAAACCCAAGCATACATGGGGAGAATGTGCAAACTCCACACAGACAGTCCCCCGAGGGTGGAATTGAACCCGGGTCCCTATCGCTGTGAGGCAGCAATGCTAACCACTGAGCCACTGTGCCATCCCAAATTTTCCTTTGAATCCAGTCCAGCCTGAAAAATCAGGCTTAGCGTGACGTCTTTGTGAAATAAATTTCAAGCCAAACCTTAGAGACTTCTTCGAGGTAACAGTGTTTAGAGATTTAGGGAAGAGCCAGGATACTGACAGTAGATAAGAGCTGATGTAGGCACAATGGATTCAATGTTCCTTCGGTACCATAATAATTCTGTGATGTTTGGTGAGAGAGAGAGTCCTCTTACAATGTTACAGTTAAGGGATAAAAGGTTTCCCCTGCATTAGAACAGCTGGTAAGAGAATATGCCTCTAATGCTTCTTCAAAGGTTTAACTACAGTGATGGAGAGGTTAAGAAACTTCTTGGAGCCTATGCAGCCTTCAGTAGGTGAATAATTAAATTCCAAAGACCCAGTTTCTGAGCAAGAGGCACCCAGTTCAGTGATGCTCAAAAGGGACAGCATTGGAGGAATGCAGAAAGTTGAAAACTAGAGATGAAATGAACTTTCAATGTATAGACAATTATTTTGGTTTTAGGATAAAGTGCTTCATTATTTGAAAGAATAACTTGGAAATGTTAAAAAGCCAATAGTAAAATCAATGGATTGGCAAGAACTAGAATTAGCTGAAAGTGTTGATTACATCTCAGCTTCATGTCATCACTGCAGAATTTCTAATATTTTAAGAATTTTCCATGTATAGGAATTAAAAGGTCAACAATAAATTACTACATTTTGAGAAACATGGACAAAAATATCATTACTACTTGATATGGATATTCAGTAATAACAAACTCAAAAATTCAGATATTTCTGTAACCCTACAGCCAAATTAATATAAATTGTTTGCTCTTACTGTTGGGTTGTACAATCGGCGTTGGTGAGTTACTTGTTCTGTCTGGTTGTGCACTTGTTGAGTTAGCCATTGCTTTGTGAAGAACATCGATTGCTTTATTGTAGCCCATAGACTTCAATGTTTCCAGAATCTCCATGACAGTGCCACCAGACACCTGCAACAAATGGGAATAGCAATGATTAGTGCAGTGCAAAGGAAAAATCAAAGCTGAAAGAGGAACTGGTTTATGAATATTCTGTTCAGGAATCCTCTGCAGCAGGAATAGTGTAAACTTGTACTCTCTGTCTCACCCACATCCATTTGCCCATCACCATGCTGATTGTCAGTATGTGGCCTGTCCATTATTGAAATAAAGGAAGGAGGAGGGAGGGAAGGGGCCTTAACTATTCAGTGTAAAACTGAAACTAAGTGCTTTATCAAATCTGGTTTGTAAAGTACACAGCCAAACCCCATCCCCATCCTCCCCCCACTTTTGGCTATCCAGCTAATTTATAAAATTACACTGGTATAAGAAAAAGAGGATATATTCAGCTCACCTCGTAGTTATCCAGAAGTGTTTTTGCTGGGGATTGGCTGAGTTTAAAGGCATTGATTAAAATCCCAAGACCCAGTTTCTGAGCGAGAGCCATCCAGTTCAGACTGGGTTCAGGTACCTCCAACAGTTTACACAACTCCAGCCTTGCTTCTATATCCAACTGACCTAAATCACCTAGTGTACACAAACAGAGTTCTTCAGTATAAAATATTATACTGTCTGGTTGAGTATCTGTAAAGAAGGTTAAAGATTCCTACTTGATACAGGTGTGAGCCTTCGTGAAACAACATAACAAATGTTATTAATACTTATTCTTGATCTCTATCTCTCCTCTACTACCTTTTGTTCTGGGCTCCCCCTTTACCAAGAGCGTAAAAACCTTTATTTTCCAGATCCAAAGAAGAGTCATTTCAAACTGGAAACATTAACTGATTCTGACTTCGTGGACGTTGCCAGACCTGATGAGTTTCTCCAGCATCTTGTCTTTATAACAAATGCCTTGTATGGAGGGAAAGGAATGATGGTTTCACCCCTAACCTTTACTAAGTTTGCCATAGTTATCCCCTTTTCATTTCTCACCAATTATGTTGCTTTTTCTGGATCATCGCCAATATGGACATTGTTGGCTGGGCAAGCACCAATTGTTGCATGAGAAGGTAGTGGTGAACTGTCTTCTTGGATCACTGCAGTTCTGTCTTGAAGAGATTTCTGGGATTTTGATGGAACAGCAAATACTTTCAAGTCAGGACTTTTATGCCTTGGCAAGGCCACGTAGTGCAATCTGACCACTGAAGCTTTACTGGACAGACAGACACTCACATTCTCCACCAGTTCACTCCTACATTATAATAGTGAGGGTTATTGTGGAAACATGAGTTTGTTCTTTGTAAACATTTGTGCTTCATTACTGTAGACCTAGAAAATAACAAGTTACTTCTGGTAATGTTCTAAGTCTTGCAGAGTTGATTTCTTACTAACATTTCATTTGATATTTTCCTGGTCAGTTTCATAACTGGTTAAAATCCTGCAGCAAATCTTTAATGGTATGACAGGTCCCCATTGAAGCTGGTTTGGTGTCAATTAACTAGAAATATCAGATGTTAAATAATCTTATTTTCACATTTAGCAGAATAATCAAACTCTTAACTTCTGACCAGGAGACTCCAGATTATAGAATTCATAGGCTGTGCATCATATTTAAACATGTTCTGTGTAATTTTGTAACTATGGAGGAGTCACAAAACGCTTCTCTGAAAAATAGCTAGTTATTACCTTGTGGGAAAGGAGCCACAGGTGCAGGTTTTGGTTGGTATGGTTTACCGTTCAGAATGTCATAAACCTGGAAAAGCAACATCCATTAATAAATCAAACTGCTCACAAGCAAACATTTTACTACCCAGAACTATAACACATACAGTAAGAGCACGAACAGGCCATTTGTTCCTTCATGCATTCTCCTCCATTGAGTCTGGTCACAGCTGAATCTCTACCTCAACTCCAGCTTCCCACATTACTCCCTAAAAACATTCTCAACAACTGAAGCAGCACCAGCTCTCTGAGGTAGGGAATTTCAAAAATTCATAACCTAACTTCATAAAGTAAGATGACTTCATTTAGTTGCTTTGTAACAAAGGCTAACATACAATCTGTTTTCCTAAGTAATTGCTTTTCCATAAACTTATTGTGACAAAGACATTAGGGTCCCTCCAAACACTAACTGTTCTCCATCCTTCACTTTTCTTGCTACTAAAGTAGATAACCTCATACTTCACCACATTCTTACCCACTCACTCAACCTGTTTATAGATTTCTTTGCAGTCTTCGATCCTCTTTGCCGTTTATTTTCCCAGCCAACTTCTTACTGTCAGCAAATTTGGATGCATCATGCTCATTTTCCTCATCTAAGTCATTTTTATATATTGTAAATAACGAAGGCCCTGATATTGGTCCCTTGCAGCATCCTGTTGTTACAGCCATCCAAACTCCATTTGCTTAATGGACAAGAAATAAATTATAAATAATCTGAAATCCATACAAATATATTCCCCCAATTCCCTAATAAAGGAATTTAAGACAATTGGAAAAAATCTGAAAAAGGCAATGTGGAGTATTTTTCAAATCTTATCAAGTTTTTGTGAACTGGAATATGCTACTTTGAAAGGGCAGTGGAAACAGATGCAATAATTTATAAATTGAAGTTTATTATTCATAAGTAACATGAACAAACATATGGAGAAGGAATTATTTTCAGAGCAGTGGGACTAATTAATTACAGAACATTTCAGGACATCCTGGGGCTGTGATCAGCGACACTGAAATTAATGTTTTTCTTCAAATATTCGATTAGTGATTCTGCTAGGTGTTTTGTTATTTCAGCCTGGTATTAGCATTCTTACCTCTTCTGAGGCTGACATGTCTAAGGGTGTGGTACCATGAAAGATTCCTTCATCATCATCATCTTCAACAGATTCATCAGTTTTGTCATCCAGTGGTTCATGATTCTCGATATGTGGATCTGCACCTGAAAAATTTAGATTCCAGACACCAGATTAACAAATAACCAAACCCTTTATTCTCTGGACTACCATCTTAAAAAAAAGTCATTTTAAGATAGCTTTGTTTAGTTCATTGGAATACAAATCATTTCAAGTAAGTTATTCCATGAGTAGGGTATCCTTAATGCTGAGCAAGTTAAGGCAAAGACAATGAACCGAACAACAACAACAAATTACTGACGGTTTCTGACAGTAAATATGACAGTGATTTTTTTCCAATCCCAAAAGGCCAACGACCAGCGGAGACAGATTTAAGGTAATTGGAGGCAAAGGGAAAACAAAAATCAACGCAATGAGTTGTGATCTGCATGAAAGGGCACACAGTGGAAGCAGATTCAACAAGAAATTTCAAAAGTGAATCAGAGAACTAGCTGAGAAATAAAAACAAAACTGTAAGGCCATGGGGAAAGAACAGTGGGTTACATGGATAGTTCCTTCAAACAGCCAGCAGACAGAGCTGCCTGAATGATTTCTAATGGGATACGTGGACTTCCTTCCGGGGTGTGCCAGTCAACATGCAATCTCGGTGTGGGTGGGACTGGGTGTTTCATGAAGTGCTCAGGCTCAGCTGTGGTTTAAAAAAATCTTGTGAGTGCTTACAGTAAACAGCCTCTGGTGAGCTGCAGTGCAGATGTCAGAGGATGGGCAGAACAAGAACGATTACTCTCTGGCAACATTTCAGTCTAATCCCAGGGATGCAGGCTATTCCTTCGTTTCACAGGACAGCATACTGGGACTTCCTGTGCAAAGTCTGAGATTCATAGCACTGCTCCATGTAGTGCTTTTAACATCAGCCTTTAATATGAGTCTTTAATGAACCAGAACTGCTCAATGAAGCATTCCATCATAACACAAAACATTCCGGTACATACCTGCTGCTATTAGTAAGGCACAGAGTTTGGTATAGCCTCTTCCTGCTGCTATGTGAAGAGCTGTAGACCCATCAAAAGTGGTGGCATCAACTTCTGCACTGCCCTGAGGATCCAACCACATCACATTATTACTGTTGGATACGTTTGCTGTAATAGCTTTAACATTCCCCAAATAACATAACTGAAAGTGGATTAGCTGATCATTTTCACACTGCTATCTATGGGAGCTTGCTGTGTAACTGTCATATTTCCTACACTTCAAAACATCAAGCACTTTGGGATACTGATGCTGCAAAAGGCTGTATTTAAATAGAAACCCAGCACAGTGTCTTCAATGTATCTGAATTTTTGTAGCCACTGTAACAGGTATATTACCTTTTCATTTTCATCCATGTTGCTGAAAAGTTCCAATGTAGAAAGAGGTACCTCAGGAATCCCAATTTCAATATTGTGAAAACTACAGACAGCTTCATTAGAGGATTCGGTGGTTTCAAGCTGAGCCTGAGCATTCAGAGAATTAACTTTGGGGGATTTCCTGCTGGTGCCAGCTCTCACAAGTCAGTCAGGCATAGGCAGAAATAGAGAAGGAAATCGCCCAAGTCACTGCCAGCACAACCTGAATTCACCACCAGAGGGAACCAGTTTTTAATGAACAAATTCAGCAACAAAAGGTAATGATATCAAAAACAATGAATTAGTAAAGGTCCAGCTATGTAAACCTTTCAGCAGCTGCATTTGATAAGCACCTGCTAAACAAGTTTCCAGCTAGTTACTACTACAATGTTGATCAGATCCCACGCCTTACCTACACTAAGTATGCAGTAATTCGACATTTCCAGGTTCTTCCAATTTGAAAAAGTAAACAGATGATTACAAGAAACCTTTAAAATCATGAGTTTCAGAATTGCAACATGAATCATTTTCAACAGTATCAGCTGGGCTCACTTGTAGACCAGAAGAAATAGGAGCAGGAGTAGGCCATTCAGCCTCGAGTCTGCTCTGCCATTCAACAGGATCATGGTTGATCCAAAATTCTCACATTCACTTTCCTGCCCATTCCCCATAACCCTTGATTCCCCAGCTGATCAACAATCTACCTCAGCCTCAAATATACAGAAGGACTCTGCCCGTTAGCTCTCTGTGGCAAGCAATTCCAAGGACTTACAACCCCATAAGAAGAAATTCCTCCTCACCTCAATTTTAAACTGATGCCCTTAATTCTGAGACTATGCCCTGACAGTACACAACTCTGAGTCAGTGTGTGTTCAATTTCCGTTCAAACATTGCAGTGCAAGTCAGAGCTGACACACACAGTACTATTACAGGTCAGAGGGAGCGCCGCAATGTGGGAGGGTCAGTGCTGAGGGAGCACTGCGCTGCTGGAAGGACAGTTCTGAGGAAGCGCCGCGATGTGGGAGGGTCAGTGCTGAGGGAGTGCCATGATGTTGAAGGTGGTTCAGGGCAATAGTTTAAAAAAGCAAAATTCTGCAGGGTATTGGAAAAATGACACAAACACAGAAAATGCTGGAGAAGCTTAGCAGGTCTGGCATCTGTAGAGAGAGAGAAACAACTAACATTTCAAGTTGAAGAGTCACATGGGACTCGAAATGTTAATGCTGTTTCTCTCTCTCTACTGATGCTGCCAGACCTGAGTTTCTCCAGCATTTCCTTTTTGCTTCACAACAATAATGCCGTCTAAAAGTACTACATTAGCTATGAAGAGATTTGAGATGTCGAGGTGTAAAAAGCATGACAAAATGCACCTCCAGGAGGAGACTACCAGCCAAGGAGATGTTTTCCTGCTCGACTGCGAGGTGGAGTGCAGTCCGACCTGCTTGCTGCTCAGAAGAATCCACATCAGCGCCAGCTGCAATCAGCTGCCTCAGGGACGACAGGCTATTCGCTAACACAGCCAGGTGAACAACATTGAAACCTAAAAAAGAAGACGGCAGAAGATTAGCAACTATGTGTTAGTTTACAAACAAATATTCCTTACTTGTTACTTTTGGCAATTGTTACAATAATCAATGAACGATCTGTGTCCTGTGCAATGGGACATTTGAATTGGAACATGACAATTGGAAAAAGCATATTTAGAATGTGGGAGGAGGATGGGAAACCTCGTGTCAATCAATACAGAACCTTTGTCCACACCATTTAAAACAGTCCATTCAAGTAAATCAACAAATGCAGAGAGCTCATCTTTCTTCAAGAATATTAATTTCAGATGTTGCCAGTTGAAGTGATTTAAAGAGTGAGCTCTGGAAGACCCGATCAAAGCATTCAGCGAGGTGTTTAATAAATACTTGGCATCAATCCTCAATGTAAGGCTCAATTATAGCATTCAAAAATAATAAATCAACTATTATTGATTAATTATAAATCAATCAAGGGCAGCGAATGAATAATGTAACTACCACATGAGAAATAACCATTCCCATTGTTTTATTTTAAAACATTTTCTTCTTAAATGTTTCAGCTTATCTTTCTCTCAAACTTCTGTCTGAATGCTAACTGACTTTAACAGTATTCTGTCTGGAAATATAATCAAATTTATTTTTCATTTTTATGCCATATATAATGAAAATCTCAGTATTATGGATCATAAGGGGAATATTCTTCTAAAGAATCCATTCCAAATCATCTCTATTCACAATAGAAACATTTATAAGTGGCTGAGTCCCAAACCCCACACCTGAAAATCATGGATTCAAGTTCTATTTCAGAGTTCTATTTGAGTACAAATCCCAACGCGAAGCCCTGTGTGCAGGACTAAGCCATCACCACACTGTCGGAGGGTCAGTGCTGTGGGAGCGTGGCGTTCCCTCAGCGCTGACCCTCCGACAGCGCGGCGCTCCCTCAGCGCTGACCCTCCGACAGCGCGGGGCCTCAACAGAAAACCAAACCCTTATAAATTCTACAATAGAAATTGTGTGTCTATTCTGATCTACAGCCAAAGTTCTCAATGGTGTAAATTATAAAAATAAGCATAACTGTAAAAACCAAAACATTTTGAGGAATGGTTACTTATTCTAATAAAAGAGTCATGAGGAATAAAGGTCCCAGTTATCCCTTTCACTCTAGACTGTACACCCAACATTAACAAATGAGATTTAACAAATCTGCACTTCAGACACCAGAGGGGCCCAGTTCTTGTCCCAGTCATTGAGCTGACCCTGATTTCTCAATCTACAAACCTGCATTATTCGGCAAATGGAGGAGTTTTACCAGAGGCTTGTTCTTTTTGCTTAGGAGGACATTGAGCACCTTCACATCTCCCTGTTGTGCTGCCAGGTGTAGAACAGAGTTTCCAAGGCAATCGAGGAGACTCATGTCAGCTCCAGCTTGAAGCAATAATTCGACCACCTCGGCCTGTCTTGTGATGACTGCCAGGTGCAATGGTGTCTGAAAGTAAACAAACCATTGGTCAATATTAGATAAAGAATTCAGCTTCTTTGGACTGGAGCAGGAATACAAACTGTGCACCAACTTATCCTCTCTTAATTTACCATCTGAATATAAGTGAACTCAACAGAATCTGTGGAAACGCTGTACTGGGTGGAGTCATACCTAACACACAGGAACATGGTTGTGGGTGGTCAATCATCTCAGCAGAAGTTCCTCAGGGTGGTGTCCTAGACCCAACCATCTTTAGCTCCTCCATTATAAACTTTCTACCATCATCAGGTCAGACGAGTGGATGTTCACTGTTTGTTGTGTAATGCTCAACATCCATCACAATTTCTCAGATATTTAAGTAGCCCTTGCCCCCACACAGCCAGACCTAAAAAACTTGTGGGCTTGAGCTGATAGGGAGAGAGTAACATTTGAGCCACATTTGCCTGGCAATAATCTCCCTTTGACATTCAAAGGCATGATCATCATTAGGTGTGATGGAATACTCCCCACTTGCCTGGATTAGTGCAGCTCCAACAACACTCAACAAGCTTGGTACCACCGAGGACAAAGCATCACACTTGACTGCTACCCCCCCCCCACCACCTCCACCCCCCCACCCCAATTCACCACTCCCTCCCAACACTGATTCTCAGTAGCAGCAGTGTGTCTCATCTAAAAGGTGCACTGCAGAAATTCACCAAAGCTCCTCAGACAGCATCTTCCAAACCCACCTTCACTACTATCCAGTGAGACAAGGGCAGTAGCTACATGGGAACACCACCACCTGCAAGTTCCCCTCCAAGTTTCACCACCCTGTCTTGGAAATATATCTTTGTTCCTTCAGTGTTACTGGGCCAGAAGCCTGGAATTCCCTCCCTAAGGGCATTGTGGGTCAACCTACAGCATGTGGACTGTAGTGGTTCAAGAAGGAAGCTCACCATCTTCTCAAGAGCCATTGGGGAAGGGGAGTTAGGTACAGGCATAACAAAGCTGACATCCTGTAAATGACTAAAAAATATGGATGATTTGATCTTGTGTACAGTGAAGCACTTTTGAAACTAGCTGATGACGCTGAAGGAGGAGGTTTGAAAAGTAGTGAGGAGCTACTGAAAATACCAGGAACAAGGAAATTAGACACATTATTATTATCCTGTGCCTCTGGATTATTAGTAGAGAGAGAAAACCACTACCTGTGAAATAAGGCAAATAGGCTGATGATACACGCAATTAAGACAGATCAGTGCATCACAATGTGTTTTCAGAACACAGAACCCTTTGAAAGGGTGAATGAACAGTGAGAGTTGGAGATTCAAATCCAATGTATAACAAGAGTGAACCAACAATACTGAGGTCAAGAATTCAAACGTCAACATGGTTCAATTAAACTGAATTCAATAAATTGAGCAAATTGTGGTCAACACGAGAGAAATGTCCAGGAAACTGTCTGGATTGTTCTGAAAACCCAATGGAGGGATTCTAAGTGCTTCAGGATGTAACTGACCATCTCACTCTGTCTGAATTGATCTGCCTGACCCTGGCTGTAGAGTAACTAGGAATGGACAATAAATAGCTGCACTTGAGAACAAACTTGCAAAGATGCCTGACTTACAGTTCAGACAAAATAGTTTAAATTTCCATCTGCATTCTGTGTTTATAGAGGAGTATAGAACTCAAAACTATGGAAGGAATGCAAACTTCGCAGAAAATACAGTTTCTTTAAAAGTGTGACAGCTGATCGGACAGAGAAAACTTTAAAATCACAAAAAGCCTGAAGTGTAGATTCACCAGAATAATCCCAGCAGGGACAAATTATAGTTGAAACCTGTCTGTTTGGGAAATCATTAATTTAAGAGTCAGACAAACAAGAAAGTTTAAAGGACTTTATTTGTGCAGTAGGCCATTATAGCATAGAATATTTTATCCCATGGAGTGATTTACATCAGAACCATTGGAGGAGATTGGGATAAAAATTAAATCAATAGCAATGGGAGAGCTCAGAGCAATGGAATTAGTTTGGGATTGATACGGGGCTATGGGAAAACAGCAGGGTTTATTTGGAATTGGTTCAATTCAGGTCATGAACAGGTAAGGTGGACTGAATGGCCCATTCCTTTACTTTGTTTGGTCTACCGCTACAAACTGGACACTGTACATGTCATACAAAACATATTTGATTGAGAAGATTAAGACAATTTATATTTTTCAAAAAAGGATAAAATGAGTAAATACTGATAGATTCAATACCGTTCAAATAGCAGAAGGAGAAATGTCACACGGTTGGATTCAATTCTCACTTCAAACCTCCAATTAAACAGCTCTTTTGAATTTCATTCCCTTATGTGTAATACATCTTCTATAACTTGTGTTATGCACTTAACTGTCCAAGTCCAGTGAAGGTTTCCAGATTCTGCACTGAGTACAAGTACCTGATAAAGATCGTTCCTCATGTTGATGATGTCTTGTCCAGGAAGGCTGATGATGACTTGTAAAAGATGTTGAACCACTCCAGATTGGAAATGAATAATTGCAAGATGTAAAGCTCTGTCAGTGACAACAAAAGGCAAAGAAAAATCATTGGATGTGGTGCTCTATATATCTTGAACAATATAGTTGAATGTCCTGGAGATTTTAGAATTTTACAGCACCACAGGACACAAAATAATGTACAAATTAGGAACATAATTAGCTCATTTGGCCCTTTGAATCTGCTCTGCCATTCAATAAGATCGCAGCACATCTGTTTGAATTCTGAATTCTACATTCCTATCTATCCCCAATAACCCTTCGCACCCCAGTCTAAGAATAATCTCTCATTTAAAAATATTAAACTACCTTGCCACCTCCACTTTCTGAGACAGAGTTCCAAAGTCATACACCACTTACTGAAAAGATTTCTCCTCATCTCTGTCCTGGGAGGGTGACCCTTAATTTTTAAGCAAAGTCTCCCTCTAGGTTTTAGCTGAGGAAATATATTTTCCACATCCGAGGAGAAGTTTCTTCACGCAGACAGTTTTGAATTGTTGGAATTCTACACCACGGTGATTGTGGATTTGACATTATGGAAGGTGGTTAAAACTTTTGATTTCTGGCAGAATCACGGAATATGAGGAGTGAGTGAGAAATTGAAGGCTGATGATCAGGGATGATAGCATTGAAGGGTGAATCAGTCTTGAGGAGCCAAATGGAGCACTCCTGCTGCTATTTCTTTTGTTGGCACCACTGCCCAATGTCTCCAACATGCATGTCTGGCTTTCAGTACCAGTGAATGTTTCAGACAGATTTTATAAATAATGCCACACATGGCTAATCACCTTGAAGCCTTTTACTTTACTGCATAAACAAAGCCCCTTGCACTTTTCACAGTGCAATGTGGTTCACACTATTTACTGACACAATTTAACAGTTGCTGCTGTGGTAAAGAACCTCTGCAATCTGGGCGAGGCATCTCGAGATCTGGGTGGTGAAGAGAGATTTGAAGACAAAACTTGCTGCAATGCAGGAAATACAATGTTTGGACTCCTATGAAAGATGAAATTAATAAAATGGGAAAAAGTATTGGCTTTGAAAATGGTCTACTGATGCAATATTCTTATTAGAAGATTTATAATTAAAAATACTTGAAGTTATATATGTTGTTAAATATTAAAAGTGTGATTTTAACCTTGACCTGGTGGCAGGGTTGGAGGTTAAACTGGGGTCTTGGTGAATTCAAGTCCCATTCCGGAGACCTAAGCCCACAAGCAAGTTTCAAGACTGAGGGAGTACTGCACTGTCAAATTAAGCATATTTTGGATGAGTTGTGAAACTTAGGGCTTGGCTAGATGTAAAAGATTTCCGACCACTATTAATATTTATTCCTCAACAGATACAAGAAAATCAGATTCTCTGGTCATTATTTTATTGTGGAATCCTTGTGTGCAAATTGGCTGCCATATTTCCTACATTCCAGCCAGGAGTACACTTCAGCAATAGCTCATTAGTTTTAAAGTGCTGGAGTAACTGCAGTCTGAGATAAATCATGAACACCAGTAATATATACAGCAGACGGCCAAGTAGCCTGTTTCTCTGCTGTAAAATTGTCCCTAATAATAATTAGAATCAATTGGACGAACTTCAATGCCATCTGCAGTGAGCAGTACTGCTATAAGGATAACATGATTCAATAGTTTGGAATAACTTACGTGTCTCCGTTTTGGTCCTGAACTGCAGTAAGGTGGCGCTGAACAGCAAGCAACATCTTGGTATCACCAGTTACAGAATAATCCAACAGGGCACTCGCATGTCTCTCAGCAAGGGTCAGGGCTTTTTCTAAGAAGTATTGATCTAAAGTAAATCACCACAAAGATCAGTCACTCCACTACATTCAGTAACATTCAATCACTGCAGTGTGCAAACGCTTTGTTCTCAACATTACAGTTTTCAATGTTTCTTTCTAACAGTACAAAGGTCAGGGAAACAGGGGTCAGGGATTGAAGACACAGAGAGAGAGTATATAATTCCATACATTTTGGAATTTGGATTTCAAAATAGATGCAGGTGGGTGTTGGTAATGTCCATGAAAGATTTTCTTTAAAAATACGGACTGTGTCCTTCTGGAACAGTGACTGAAATCCAATATTTTGTCAGTGAGCTGATGACTCAGACCCCTATGGCATTAATGCAATAACATTTATACTGTTGGGTTTTTTTTCAATTTCAGAAAGAAGCTAGGATGGGCAAGTTTTTTTTAAATTCATTTCAGAAGACACCAGAGTTGAGTTTAGAAGGTAATTTAGTCACCCTTGTAGGAGTAGGATTCAGGGCACAATTCACCTCAGCAGAAGGATTTAATTTGGGAAACTTCAAAAAGTTACGTTCAACAGTCAGCCAAGTAGGAACTGAAGAGTCGAGATGGGTGGGAGGGGGGTAATTGCTCTGGACTGGAGTCTCTGTAAGTGTCAAGAAACATTGAAACTTTGTTCAGCTGTGTGCTTTAGATCTTGCTGTCTTTTCAAAGCTAGTTAATCTTTTCAAAATTTTTTATTCACTAGATAAACAGAATTTGTTTCTCTGTTGAAGAAAATCTGGAACCTCGTGTGAATATGTTTAAGTGACTAACCATCATGTTAAGTAATTAAACAAGCAAAACTATGATCTGTCAAGTTAGGTTTCACTCTGGGATCTGACTTATTCAGTATTACCATCAGGTGGGATTATAACTAGCCATCATTCATTTATTTTCAGTTTGAAGACTTGCAGTTGAAACAATGAAAATAATCTCCAGTGGCAGGACATGAAAGAAAATGTAGCTCACTACTGCGCAGTATCTATTTAATATTACATGTGTACGAAAGCAAAATACTGCAGATGATTTGAATTTATTGTCACATGAATATAAAAACAGTGAAAAATGCTTTTTTGCGTTAAGCGAGGTGTCTCCATGCTCCTGCACCATGATGGAACATGGAATATAATCCAAGATTCTACCGCGATAGAGTTCATCTTTCTTTCTTCTTCTTGTCCCTCCTCTGCTGCTTCTCCAGGCGCTGCTTGACATTGTCCAGATTCTCTGTAATGGTCTCTTGGGTCTTGGTAATGGGCTGTGGTGTCTCGGTTATGGGTCTCTGCCACTACTACTCCTGCGACCACTGTGTCCGAGCTGGATCCTTGAGCCTGGGGATGCGTAGGTTCCATCCCTCCTGTTCCCCACCTTATGCTCCTCCTCGCTGGTGATCAGGCTTCAGGGTCCTTCACTGTATCTTTCGTTGATGCTTCTGCTCCTTCAGGTGCCTGGGTCTAGCTGTGGACCTGGGTCCTCAGCCTAGCCTGCAAGCCCAGGCTGGGGGTGTCAGCCCAGAACCTGCTCCTCACTCAGGGAGACACCCCGGGCTGGGGTGGATCTGTGTCCAGCTCGTCCTAGTGTCACTGCCGTCGTTAGCCTCCTCCTTCACTCAGCTTCGACCCCTGCCACTCTCCAGATTTTAAAGAAAAGATGATGAAGAGAAAAAAAAAGAAAAAGAGCAAAAGTAAAAAGAAAACAAATGAACGAAAGCAGACAGGAGGCGGACGAGCCCCGAGCTCAGGCCTGATACTTCGCTGCCATCTTGAACATTGAGGTGCATGAAATTGGAATGAAAACAGAAAGTGCTGGAAACACCCAGCAGATGTGGCTACATCTGTGGTGAGAGAAACAAAGTTAAAGTCCAGTTAAGTTTCAGGCCAATGGTAACCTGTATGATGTCAGTGACAGAGGATTCAGCAATGATTCAGCAAAGGAATCTTGATTAGATTTTCTCATACCTGTTCAGCCATTGAATCTTACAGAAATCATTTAGATTAATCCAATTGAAAACGTCTGATCAGAAAACAGCTCTTTCGACTTTAGTCACTAAAACACAACTGACTTACTTGCTTCAGTTTCTTCGGCAGTTACTGCTGGATCTGCAGACTCTGAGTTACCGAGGATCCCAGTGGATTGAGCTCCAGCCTCGGGTGTTGGCTGGTTGCTGGATGTAGAGCTCACAGCTGATTTCACACAATCGGAATTCTCAGTCAGGCAACAGACAGCTGCAACACAAGCAGAGTTTCCTTTAGCAGCAGGAACCTGAAGGGCAGCTTGTCTGAAGAACAGGAAGAAGATTTTGACTGTGTGAAGGTGGTGAGTAAAAGGGAATTGAATAGTGAACACAGAGGTTGGCAGATGGGGAAACCAGGAGGGCCTCAATTACAAGATGATTCTTGGAGATTTTCCTAAGTGAGCAATTAGATTCACTTCTGCCCTATGCAGTGTAAAACCCCCACCCACCCTTTCACCAATCACAACATCACAGAGACAGGAGCATTGTAATAGTGTCTAGGATCTAAACTAGTAAGGCAGACATAATCCCCAGACTAGTATTCTGGGGACACAATTTCAAATCCCAGAATAGCAACTTGTGAAATTTAAAGTCAATGAATAAAACTGGAATCAAATGCTCACATCAGTGACAGTGTCCACGAAACCAACACTGATTGTTGTAAGACCCACTTTTAGGGAAGGAAACTTCATGGAGAGAAATCTGTGATATTTACCTGTCTCCAGACTAACAGCAATCAAATGTCCAAGCAAGACTCTCAGTTCAGGGGCAATCAGGGATAGGCAACAGATCATCCCATCAGAAAACAGAGAAATAAAAATCTACAATTTCACAAATCCCATATCCACAATCTAAGCGCCCCCTCCTTGTCTACAATCTCATATTGTTACACTCACTGAATATTAGACAAACTATAAAATGCCTCGTTGATTTGCTGAACTTTATGATGTAACAGTTACCGTGTTTCATTCCAGCACTGGAGTTTGTGGTCCCAGGCGTGTACGTGTAACTACTGTAGTTGGAATATCCTTGAAATCCAGCAAAGTAATTGGAACCTGTAAGAAGTGAAAACTAAATCAGGAATAAGAACAATTCAAAGCAGCAGCTGCCAAGCATAGAGAATATATCAGGACTTTTGCAACAATTTGCAGCTTCCATCTACTCAACAACAACTATTTCAGACTTTGGTCAAATTGTAATATGTTAAAAAGGGGAGAAATATGTAGAAAGTAGTCACTTTAAATTTATTTCACTTGATTCAACCTGGAACAATGGAACATCCTCTAGTAACAGTTACTCTTCAAACAGCGATCATTCTAAACTGTACTATAAAAAAAGGAGATTGAGTAGGGTTAGGAGAATTAGCCTATCAGAATGTGCATGAAACAGGAGTTTCAGTTCATTACAATGGAGGATAGTAAATTATGCGGATAGTAACATCTGAAATTCAACGTTGGTTCCCAGCAGCACAGACACAGCAACTGGAGGTTAACACAAAAAAAACAGTGAAATTCCAACTTATGCCAAACTCTCAGCCACAGTTCACTGCTGGGACAGGCTATAACACAAGTCAACCATTTTCCTCTGTTAGTTCACATTATACTCACCCCCTCCTGCTCCACCCCCTCCTCCGTAAACCCCACCTCCTCCGGAGCCTGCTCCACCTCCAAAATGGTCAGAGAAATTTGGTAAAAGTTTCAATCGCTTCCTTTGTACCTCCTCCTTGTCTGTGAGAGAGCAGGGAATAAACACATCATGTTAGTTTGAAAGTACAATGACAAATGAAAATTAAAAAGTTATAAAATTTTATACGTATTATATTTTCAAAGACTTTGACAAGTTAGGAACCATTACAAAACCATTTCTGAATAATGGATTCTGAGAATATTTCACCGTATATAACAACAACTTGCATTTATATAGAGATAGCAAGAACTGCAGATGCTGGAGAATCTGAGATAACAAGGTGTAGAGCTGGATGAATACAGCAGGCCAAGCAGCATCAGAGGAGCAGGAAGGCTGACGTTTC